TGTCCGAAAATGATTAATTGTGCAAAGTGTAAAGCTATATACAATAGATTTGCAATTTTGCAAAACCAATGTCACGTCGTTCAAATTACTGCGTCCATCATCCATTTCCCAATGAGATCTGTTTACATCACTAGTTTCACACCGGACAGAAAAACTGTTACACACGGTAACAGCGGCTGAAGGTCGGTACAATCATTTAATACCCGTACATATATTCATTATATTTACATAAAATTAAACACCAAAATACATTTAAACACTATGTCTACTAATATGTCTGCTGGAACCACTTATATAGCTTACAGTTTATTTAATTTCATTACTCAACTATTTACACTGTGCATATCCAGTATTTCATATATTATATATTTATTTTATATACTTGTTCACATAACATCCTTATAATTATACTAGTGCTGCTTATATATACCTATCATAGGTATACAGTATGTGTATAATGTGTACTTTGCTATACATACACATAATTTAATTTAGAATAACAAAAATATAACATATAATAATTGAGATTGCACCACATTACACCACACATGGCAACAATAATTATGTACTCATACTAATAACACTACTCTATCTACTTCGACTAACAGACTCATCTACTAACATCCACTGTTCAGATGTCCCATATTCATTGACAGTGTGCTGCTACTCATGTTTGCATTTTACCTATTTGTGCATTTTTATTGATGCTGTACTGCTGCTGGAACTCCCGAGGGATTCAGAAACTTCTATCTATGTAAACACAGGCATTTTCTTTTCAACCTGCGGTCTCGCAGTCCCACAGTTGACAGCTGTTGTCGGCTGATCCTGTCAAGACATTTTTGGTGTCCCCCTGAGAAGAGCCAGTTAGGGAACGTAGCATGTATCGTGGCAGCAACTCACGAGCGTAGGCTAGGGTCAACTGTGTCATGATTACACATTTACTTGGTACAATGACTGTCAGACAATTCATCACAATATGATCATTTTTATGCTTTTATTGGTTTCACAACACTGTGCTGTTCCATGATAACATAACATTTAATGTCATAACATTGTTGCAGTATGTCAGTCTTCCCTTCTTTATTGCGTTTATTGTTTGAGTTCACCTTCACTTTAGTTATATTTTCTGACATTACTCAGGAAATGTTAGGGCCTTCATATTGCTAATTATTAGAGATATCGACTTAAGACATCCCTGGTGAGGACACGACAGAATACAGCAGCTAAATGACATCAAAGGATACAGTCACAGTCGACGCACTGTACAGCTCCTATGTGTCCGCTGTAGGTACCGAGTCGTTCCACACATTGGCCACCTGTGTGGGGAGACATTGTTGAAGGTAAATATTAAAAGGCTACAATGCAATCGTGGCTTTGCTTCACAAATTATTGGTTTGCTCTACATTACTGGTGCCACCAATAACCTATAGGAAGAATTCCATGTTGCACTACTTTCCTTTTAATCTGAATGAAAATAAATCAATTCCACTGGCCTTAGTCGTGTCCCCTTTTCATGATTACAGTATTTATATATCATACACACTATAGAGCCTATAGCCTTATGTTTGTAACACAACTGCAAGTGAAAACTATCAGAAGATTACTCTGCTACTCGACTAGCAGAGTCGTGTAGCTCCACGTTGACATTCTATATTTTTGACGTCGAAATAAATACTATCCTACAGTCATTGGTGGCACTTGTTAAATTCAAACATTTCGTGTCACTCACTGGATCTTTGGCGACGGAAAACAGGTCTCCTTCTCCGTCGAACTTCATCTGAGTGGTGGACCGTTCGTGGCCCTGCAGTAGGATGTGTTTCTGTACAGAAAAGCAATATTTGCAAGTTCATTTCAAAATGCATCAGAACAGTTCAAACTCCCGTCAAAGGCCAATTTCTCATTTACCACGACAACTTTATGTTCATTATATGGGACGAAAAACTAACTACGAATCTAACTTCTGACAAAAGCTAACGTTAGCTGCCGAGACGCATATGCTAGCGTAAATTGCATTATATATCATACACACAACCGAACGACTACCATTTCAAACAAAATACAACCGACAAATGTTTTCAAAAACCCACCATATTAATCAGTCAGATGAAGTCACCTGGAAGCCTAAACGGCTAACACTCGTATTTCATGCGCAGGATCCGCAACCGGAAGTAAGTACAGTACAACGTATTCCTATTTCCGTTATACAAACGTTCCAACATCAGCGCGCCCCCTACAGTCGACGGCTGACATTCACATTCTTTTTTGACTTGTTTTAGTCTCTTAGAACTTTGATAAAAAAGAGCGTGTTTTGACGACTGTAACAGAAATGCTTATTAGTGAAAATCTACAAAAATAAATAATTTAAATACAAAATAATTTAAAATAGTTTTTTAGTTAATAGTCATTTCAGTTATATATACTGTATATATATCTACATGCAGAGCCAGAGTGGGCCCCCCGATTAAAATAGTTTTTTAGTTAATAGTCATTTCAGTTATATATACTGTATATATATCTACATGCAGAGCCAGAGTGGGCCCCCCGAGAGTTTCATGCCCAAACCCGTCCCATTTTGCCTTTTTATTGGGTTAACAGAAAACACTGCACTTTCACAATGATTAATTTCAAATTAAAATCAGATAAATATTTTAAAGGTAAAACAATCTGATAAAGAAGAAAATGTATTTATCTTTGTAGAGGAGCAGTCATTTGAAATCACAATTGCATTTGTCTTCCCAACAGAAAGGTGTGCTATTGTTAGGTTTACACTAAACTCTCAAGTAGCTTTACACATATTTAGTGGGCTACTTTCAGCATCAAAATCCTCCTAAGCAAAGCACCGGTTTCTGCAAGTTTATTAATGACAATATCATTGCCAATATAGGCTACATGAGAATTTCCTTCTCTGTGTACATTAACATGAAGGCCTCCAAGAGTTCCTGAGACAGTGAGCTTCGTAGCCCATTTTAATGCAGAGAAGCTCTGCTCACATGCAACTTGAGTGCTTGAAAGGGTCAGTAGAAAGTTATGGCTCCATATATGACAACCCACTATCCTCCTCAACTGTCTGTGTCACCTCTCTGCGCCGCATGTGTGGGAATGCGCGGTGTGAGAACCAGATTAACTAAAGAAAGTTACACTGTTATTGTTGTGGAGATAAAGCGTGAGTTGTGGCTAAACAGCAAGACTTGGTTTCTGTTCATCAATAAAGCTTCACTGAAGTGTAAAGCAAGTGTCCGATTCTTACAATATATTACACTTTTAAATTCTGTATATATAGTTTTTTCCATCTTGAAACTGGATATTTGTGACAGATACGTGTTTAAATTATGCCCATGACCCAAGTGGCCCAAACCGAGATTGACATGGGCTAGCCCATCGGAAAAACTTCTGAATGTCCCGATTAGCCACTCAGGCGCTCTGAAGTTTTCTGAAGGCCTTGTGAGTTACTCAAAATTGTGCAGCCAATGGAAGTTTCTGAAATACTGCAGAACTTTCCGCTCCCTAATGTCAAATTTTCAAGAATGCATCACGATACGGAAGTAATCGTGGAAAAATATTATGCTGTGTAATTGTTATAATGAAGGTTTTAATTGAGTGATCATTATAATGTACATGTCGTTGTAATAAGTTCTGACATAAAGACAAACCAGTACTGGAGGGACTTTACAGACGTTCTTTGTTAATGGACACTAAAACTGCCCAGCCCTGTCTCTGGCCACATTAATGACACGCGCTCAATTTAACATCTACCAGCTCCACTCGCAAGTAAATTTCTTTGTGGCGTTTAGCCCAGTAAACAAGCGGTATGAGTGTCATTTTTGTTATTCCTGTTTGTTGTTGTTGTTTTGTTTTGTTTGTTTGTCTGTTTTTTTTCTCACGCAGCCTTTATCCAGGTTAATATTCTGGTAGACAATAAGTGGGATTCACTGCTAAGTAACACAATCATCTTCAGCGAATACCCAGAATATTCTTTGCAAGAGCGCGGTCACAAACGGTTAGTGCCTTAATGTGCTCGCGCACGACACCTAAGCGTCACAACACTTCTCTCCTCTGATTCGTTTAGCTGTTGGACTTTACGGAAGTAATGGAACTGGAGTTTTTCCGGTGTGATGCTACGAATACGACACAGAAAATGCAGACAGATCATGATACATTGGTTAAACAGGACTTGGTGAAAACTCCTGGGACAGTTCGTGTCCTTGTTGGAGTAACTGGTAGCGTGGCAGCTGTGAAGCTGCCTATTCTAGTCACAGAGCTTCTTCAGCTATCTGGGGTGAGCTGCTTAGTCTTGTAATACACTTTTTATCTAGAATCCACGTATTGGCATGACGTGCGTATTGACACTGTAAGAACATGCAAAAATGGAACAAGAATGCAAAACACAATCTTTAAAAAAAAGAAAAGAAAAGTGGAACGAAGGTGATAATCATCTCGTTTACACAGGCGAGAGCTGATACGGGTTATAACGATATCATAGTACTGTAACAAAAACCAAACCTGGTACAAAGTCATGAGAAAATGAAAGTTTCTTTAAATGACAGATGGTTATTACGTTTTATAAAGTAAAAAGTCAATCTTCTGTAGAACTAACTGCTGTGTAAACAGTGATGCCTCTAAAAGATAATCGCATAAATAACGCATAAACAAAGGTGAATACTTTTATTTTGTATGGACGGAATCTGTTTTTTAGTTATTAAACTTTAACTTTTTTTTCTCGTTGCGCAGTGTAAACACATTAGATATATGTATAAGCCAAACAGCTCCATCTGGGATTTTGTTTCGAATATAACAGCATAACAGTCTACGGTTCTTTTTCTATGAAAACGTAATTTGATATTTTTATAATTCCTTTAAAAACAGTAATTGATGTGATATAGCGTAACTGTACCAACAAAGACCAGTGCCTGTAATGGAAGCGAATGTAAGTTCATTTAATCTAACAAACATATATTTGACTAATGTCGGACATTGCCTTCAACTATGTCTTCATTCTTTTTATCTGCTCGGAACCCTACCGTGTTTGAGATAACTAATGTACACCCTGCTCATTAATTATTTCTTCTTGTCTGACTTATCTGTACCGAGGCCAGGTGTTTTAGGTCTTGCTGCCCTAGTGAAGGACACACCACTTTTCCCATGCCTGTGTGGGCGTTTATGGTCCTTGCTTTTACATTTTTCTTATATCTGAGAATCTCAACACTTGTAAAAGTAGTTGGACTCGAATGGAAGAGTCCACGCTGACTGTAGAGGCGATATTTTAAGGGGTAATGTGTGAAATGTGTCGGAAGAGGGCAGCACGAGGAAACGGGAAGGATGAAACGTAACAGCCCTACAGTTTAGGTCGAGCAGGTTTTCAATAAAAAGAAATGGGGATCGGACATGTGCTTAGGACAAAGGCTGCATAAAATTGTTGGTCATAAAGTTTTCAGATTTTATTAAAGAAAAATATGACAGGAAGACAAGAGTTTACGAGTGAAGGAGGACGTGAAGACTGACGAAGCTAGATAGTACTAGAGTTGGCAAGATACATACTACCAGGTTGAGACAGGCCATCCATTATAGCACTCCCATAAGGGAGAGCCAATAAAAAGGAATAGCTTGCTGTTTTAACTCTGGTCATAAAACACCAAACCCGTTTTTTATCCTATGGGAGTGTTTAAAATGAATATTCATTAAAATACATTGGATGAATTTGATTCATTTAATGAATTTTCCTTGAATTTCATTCATTCAAATATTTAATTACTGGTACTAAAAACTCTGTGTTGCATGTTAGCGGTATTACAGTTACAGTTCTGTTTTCTGCTGCAGGTGGATGTGAGAGTGGTCACTACGGAACACGCCAAGCATTTCTACAATGCTGCAAACGTGCCAGTAAAAATCTACAGTGAAAAGGATGAGTGGGAGGTAACAATTGGTGTGAGAAAGATGAGGCGTTATCATCAGAAAACAAAGCCTCGAGCACATTGACAGAAACATTGACTGTTTCATGAAAATATTGTGTCTCTTGTGTTAGTGTTTTCATTCAGTGTGGACAATGCTGTAATGAAAATGATCTCTCAGGCTCACATCTCACAGATAATGTGTAAAAGAGTTTGCTGATGGTTTTTTCTCTGGTGTAGATGTGGACACAGATGTCTGACCCTGTGCTGCACATTGAACTCAGGCGCTGGGCTGACCTACTTGTCATTGCCCCACTGGATGCCAACACTCTTGGAAAAATTGCAAATGGAATTTGTGACAACTTACTTGTGAGTGATTAAAATCTTGAACTATTTTGGAAAAAATAATATTTCCTCTCACTCTGTGGAATTTATACACTGAGTTGATTACTATTTTCCTTTTTCTTTCTTTTTTTAAAAAAAGACTTGTGTGGTAAGAGCCTGGGACACGAGTCGACCCCTCCTTTTCTGCACTGCCATGAATACGTTCATGTGGCAGCATCCCATTTCAGCCCAGCAGGTATCCAGGCTTAGAGAGTTTGGATATGTGGAAATCCCCTGTGTTTCTAAGAAGCTAGCATGTGGAGATGAAGGTGGGTTTTAGATACTGATAAACATTTAAAATGTGTTTTTTTGCTTTATATAAATGTAAAGCAAGACTGCCTTTTTTCTAAAATAATGATATATTCTAAGTGCAGGCAGGCCAACCTACAGCAAATTAACAAATTACACACCTGATCTTGATGATATTGATTAGCTACTTGCAAGCAAGCTAACATTTTAATGCAACATCGAACACGTGCTGTCTTCATACAATACTGTTCAAGTTGATGCACCAGTGAAATATGATGCCAAAGAGCCACATGTGGCCCCGGTAGCCATGGGTTGTAGTCCCCTGATATTAGCCTATCCAAGAAGGAGAAGTGTTGTACGCCTGAAGAAAAAATGTTTATAATATCATACTACTACTACTCATTGTAATACAAAGAGGCCAGCATGTACAGACAGGTGTCACAGGAAGTTAGTCAGATGTCAGTCATAAAGCAGTTACAGGGAATGATCGCATCTGCTAAATAAAGGGAGTAACCTCTGTGAAAATAACACATGATTACAAAAGGCGTACACTGCCATGTTGACAACCTGCCCAGTGGGTTTGTCAATGCCCTGAATGTACTCTAAGGTTAATTGGAAATAATTAGGTCACTTAGAGTCAGTGTTTAGTGCCTGCAACTGTTACTTGGCAGTTGGCACCATATCCTTGGAGCCAAACGTGTGGGTGTGTCACCACAGCTGTGGTTACCGCCCTGTCATATCTGATTATTGGCCAAAGTCCTGGGTGCTCACCTGTTTGACGTGGCCTAATGACTTAGACTGACGTGACTTCACTTTTACAAAAAAACCTTGGATGAATTTTAGAAATCACTGACTACTTCATGATTATGGGACACGGCCAGATCAGGCCCACATTTGTGCATTTTGGATGAATATTGTTCATTCAAATCATGATCTCCCAAAGATTTTCTAACAGGAAATTGTTACAACAACATTTGTTTTTGTACACTGTGTAATCAAGTAGTGTCGTTTTCTGAAATGCAGATTTCTCTGGACTGGCCTTGGTCTAAAAGAACTCTCATAAATGTCTTTGTTTGCAGGTAAAGGTGGCATGGCAGAGGTGTCCACCATCGTCAGTGCTGTCAGACAGTACCTTCACAAACCAGATGAGTCGTCTGAGTAGAGATGGACGTCAATAGGAGAGGACTGGTTATTTCGACCTCTTTCGACCTCTGAGAGGACTGGTTATTTCGACCTCTTTCTAGGATTGTGTCTCCATACGTGGCGCTGTGATGAGCTGGTGAACCGTCCAGGGCAAAGGTCGGCAACTACTAAAACACTCGCCATTTGGACACCTTTTCACAAATCCAGCCACAAATCTCTTCTGACATCTGGAATGACAATAATTAAAACCTTTATGCTCTGTATAAAAATACTATAGTGTGTTGCATGTATGAAATCAATGAACTGCTACAGGGAAAACTACATTTTATTTCAGCATGCAACAAAAACATTTTGAGTGCCGTTAATAAGACGCGATGCTTGTCATTTTTCACAACACCCAGATTCAGGTTGAACAGGTTTTCTATTTTATTATGAAAATAACTGCCATCTGTTTTACACTCTCTCATGTCCTAATGTGTTGGAAATAAAAGTCTCACTGTGGTCTACTCAGTACTTTTTAATTATTAACCTTTAATAATTAATCATTAGAATTATTTAATAATTATAATTTTTAACCTTACATTTTTTATAGTGATTGTTATATTTAATGGGTCTTTGAGCCGTTTTCTTCCAGGCAGATTGACGAACCAGTGAGGCTCATGGTGTTAGTTTAGCGACAGGCCAAAGAGACACTTGGTTGACAACAGTGTCAAACATGTTTATCTTATTGAAGCCTTCCAGACTCTAACACCTAACCTTGACCAGGGGAACGCTGGCGCTGGATTATATCATGGGGAGACCAGTGGGATGGTGTCAAACCAAGACAGACAGTTGTAGGTTCACACTACAGCAGTGACTAAGGCTGACACTGCTGTAGTGTGAAAAAAAATCACACTACAGCAGTGACTAAGGCTGACTGAAAAAAACACTTTGTCAGATGTGCTAACGTTTAGTGGTACGCCCTTTCTGTCATGTCATCGCTGCATACTGTACAGTACGTGGTTCATACCAATGCATTGAGTTGTTAGCTGTGAGTGATCTACAGGTCGACATATTAACACTGTTATCTGTTTAGGTAATAGTGTGTTTGATTCATTAAAGTCTTTCCTCTGGTTTGTTGTCTCCCCTTTCTGTCACCGCTAAAACCTTCAACATGTATTTTGATGACATCTGGAGATTCAGAATGTGTCCAAAAAAGGAAATGCACAGAGTTTGGTGACCAATGAGAGGAGGGCTGAGAGAAAGGGTCATGCAAGACAATTTCTCTGTTCTTCCATTCTGTTTTGTTTACTAATTTTTTACTCGTCACTTGTTCTGTAAGTTGTTGTCTCCCGATGTTTCCCCTATACAATGTGTTTGGCAAATAGAAAATGAGCAGGAAAAATTTGCCATGCAAATTACCTGTGGGATAACTTGTTGCATTTGCAGGACGTGGAGTTGTGTGAGTGGCTCCACAGCTGAAAAGCATGTTTCCCTGAGCCATAATTTGTCCTGCAGCTATTGGCTGACGCAGATTTCTGCAAATGAGGCCAGAGGTGCATTACATCAGCCAGAGAGGGAGGATGGGAGTGTCGCTGTGGGGGAGAGTGCGACCCATGTGTCCGGGGATAATGGGAGTAAACACCATCTTCTCACTACTATGGCCAAAAAAAGATTACTGATAGGAAGAAGTTGGCACTGTGTTCCCTCTCTTTGTTCAACCTTCTTGGATTAATTAGAAAAGCAAATGATTTTCAGAATTG